CAAAACCGCCCAGAGAAAATAATGAGATCGAAGATGTTTCTGCCTTTGAATGTTAGATAAATTCATATGCAATTTATGAATATTTTGTGGTTTAATTAAGAAATGTAATTATGTCTAGGGTCAATGTTAATACTTAAACACCTTTTATGTAAATTTATTGTAAGTTTTTGTTAAGTAAAAGCATTTTAGCATTGGCACAAAGCATTAGGGATACTTTGCATCCATTTGAGGCATATATGATGTTAGGTATGTACGAAGCTAAAAAGAAATACCTGACCATAGAATAGCCCTACATAGCATCGTCTATAAGACACAACTGTAAAGTATACTCTCATCATATACATATCGAACTCAATAGAATAGACGCGTGCTGATAACATGTTATAAAACTAGAGGGAAAGAGAGAATAGAGAAAATGTATTCTCTTGATACGATTTTCATTAGAACTGAACCTTTATTTATAAGAAAAGTTCTAATGGCACAACTAAAATAATATAATTACATCAGGGCAGAATAGTCATTCATATATACAAATAATAATTGTGTAGTTCATAATTTTTTAGGATTAATTATCTTATACTGTAAATGACCCGGTGACATGGCAATTGAACCAATGACCGAGCCTGGCGACCCGAAAGCTAATCGCGCCACTGCCCACGACAGGTTTCAAAACATAGGTCGTGTGTCATATTTTCTTAAAATTAACACAAATATGCAGCATATAAACCCGATAGCATAAATCATGGCATGCAAACCAAACATAAGTGCATCAAGATCACATGCTACTTTCATCACAATTTATAGTTTTTTCACCACCAGTGAGTAACCGGTCATCCTCCCAATTGCACAACCCACTTGACATGCGAATGGATTAAGTGGAAATATCTATATTTTACTGCTCCATGTCTACACACACTTTCCAGGGGTGTTACCTCGTATGCTGTCCAAAAATAGTACACCTCCTATTCTTTTCATATGTAAGGACTACAAAAATAGCCGCTTCCGGATGGCAAAGAAGGCAGTTCTGAATCATTTGAAAACTAAAACAATGATATCAGTTCTGCTATCAACAATCAACAACGTGAAGATTTCAAAGAAGGAACTTTCTTCTAGATGTTAGTCACGAGTCAATCCTTGTGTATTCATGTCATAGACTTTCATCTGCCTCAGCGAAGCTTCAATTTCTTTTCCTTGTTCCTATAGATAAGGGTGGGAATATGACACGAATGATACGAAGAATAAATGACATAATTAGGCTTGGCATTGAGTAAACACAAGCGCAAAACAGTAATAAAATTGTAGTCACTTCAACAATTATAATAAAAAAACAGATAGAAAACTACACACACAAAAGAAAAAAAAAAATGAACGCCACACTGGTAGTAGTAGCANAAAAAAACATAACATCACCTCATGCAAGGCTCCCCACCACAGCTTTGATTTTTCGTGAAGAAGACACCATTGCAATGCCAGTAAATGCTCGATTGTATTAGACTGAGAGAAGTGAGACGTTGCCACTGCATTTCTCTTCAAAAGGAAACAACTAATTACGAAATTTTGCAAAGCCTAACACTATATGAGTAAGAAAGAATGGTATAAGTAGCAGGGATTACTATGGCTTCACGTTGTCTCCGAGGTCTGGTCCTGTCAACGGTAAGATGACCAGAAAATCCACCTGAAAGTCCAGCCTTGCTGAGGAGCCTTCTTCGGCCGACAATTGGCCTGTGCGTAGAAATCAGATAAAAGTCATTATATGAATAATTTCAATTAATAGGAAAGAAATAACTCACAAGACCTCCCAGTACAATTAGGTACATTTTTTTATAGGTTATGCATATCCGTTCAAGATACTTTCAAGCCACATCAGCAGTCAGCAAGGACATCTACCCCTCAGCAAGGATATCCGTTCATATGTTATGCATATTCTTGGGATCGACACGCAGTGCATTGGTTGAATACACTCCTTTTCTTTTTTTACAAACATATAAAGAAAAAAGAGAGAAAATCATGTCTACAATTGAAGTTATAATCATATGTGGCCTTGAAATAGTGATGACCACGAATCATGCCCTTTAGTTTATGGTTTTTAAAAAGATCTTCGTCCTCTCCTCCATGACCATTAAAAAGAAGAATAAACATCTTTGTATGCTTTTTTAATAATATGCAGTCATATTTACCAACTGAAGATAAACTACACAAAAGGTACCTAAGAAATTTCTTGATTACTATTTTATTTAACTAATAATTTTATCTTTTTCAAAACTATCTTCCATTTTTCTTTGTTATTTAGCAATATAATTATTGCAGAGAACTTTCATGAATCATGTCTATGCAAATTACGTTATTCATAGAGTTATGAACATATAGGCATAATATGCAAGCCTGACATCAAAAGCTACAATGACAAGTATTGTTCGAGTTTATAGGTAAAAACATAAATTTATGTTCCTTTACGTACTATCTATCTATCTACTATCTACTATCTACTATCTACTACTATCCAAAGAGAGTGAATATTTCTGTGAAAATATTTGTTGTCTATACTGCCCTTTTAAGGGTAGACTAACTTCTTAGTTACATTGTCTACTATCTACTAACTAACTATCTATCTATCTATCTACTCTTCTATCTATCTATCTATCTATCCTAAAAAAGTGAATATTTCTGTAAAAATATTTGTTCTCTATACTACCCTTTAAAGGGTAGACTAAATTCTTCATTACATTGGTTAAATTTTTATTATCAGTTGGTTAGTAATTAATGGCTATAATTGTATGGAATACCAAACAATTACTCAAAGCTTTGTTTTGAACGTTGCTCAAACCATTTGCAACAAAAAAGTAGGAGTTTATCATCATTTTTCACTATGACCTTCACCTGAAACCATATCTGAAACCCAAACATAAAATTTGATTTATTGTTCTAAAGTTGAGATCTAAGATAAAGACATGTTTGATAATTTTCTTTTTCAATTTATTGCATAATTATTTACAACTTCAATTTAGATTAGTTAAAAGGATAACACACAAACATTACTTCGGTTAGATGTTTTTGGAAATATCATTTTTAGTCTTTGTAGTTATTATTTTTTGGGTCACTTTTAATATTTTAACTTATATTTTTTCTTTATCTGTCACTTTAAATTATAATAAAATTTTAACTAAAAAATTTCAATAATCAACTGATTTCAGAACACATTTTTTTACACCACTAATACTATTAGCTAGTCAAAACAACTAATCCAAATATCTGGTTAAAACAGATATTGCAATACGCTAATAGCTCACTACCAAACAAACTCATATAGTGATTCTATTGAATTTGAACCAGCTACATTAAATTGAAATTGTTAGATTCAAATTAACGAGTCACTTGCGATACAACCAAGTTTCTTGAAGTTACAAATGCAAGTGACATTTTCATAGCGTTGCACTAAAAGTGTTAAGAATAAATTGATAGACACTAGAATAAATTGATAGACACTATGGCCTAATTTGTTTGGTGGATTAGATTAAACTAATAAAGTTCGGTGTAAATTATAGCGTGCAGATTGAGTTAGGAATATAATACTAGACACTACGACCTAATTTGCTTAGTGCAATGACAATAGACTAAATTAATATAGGTTGGGAGAATTGTATTGTACAGTGCGGATTTTGGAGAAAACGTTCATTGACAATTTTGTCCTCACTCTCCACAAAAATGTTTGCGGAGACCCTTTTCTCTTCCTTAATCTAGAACGATATTTCAGTCATTAGTTACTGAAGTTAACCATAGGCATAATGATGCTCCACATGATCTAAATTAGCTAATACAGAAAACATCAAAAAGGAAGAAAAACAATGGAATTTAGAAAGATGAGGTCAGTTGAGGTGGTTAGCCAACCACAAGAGATATTACCTTCCATCGCCTAGCACAAGACTTCCATTGGTTAACCGAGAGAGGACATAATCTGCTTCTTCTTTTGTTTTTAAAATTACAAATGCTTGACCTATCAACCTTATTAGTAAAAGAAAAATGGAGCCAACCAATGGCATATAAATGCATAAAATGAAGGGCTGTACCATAGTGGGGATTGGAAAATGTGGTCTGCTGTACCATCTTGGCCTTAATTTTTTTCTCGAAGGCATACCAAATGATATCCTGATTGAAATAAACATAGTCAGCAAGGCTCATTGAGCTAGATAACCCCAGGCAGCATATCATGAATGGTAGTTGGTACTGCAACTGATAATCTACATAATTCCCTATAGAAAAGATTCAAATAAATGAAAAATTCGGAAAATTTGAGATCAGCACTTCTGACTGAGTACCTCCACTTCTGCAGATGTGAATGTTGGGTCAAGGTTTTCTAACAAGATCAGGGTTCCCTTTTCATTCATTTCACATAACCTTTCCTCATCCCAAATCTGGAATATAACAAGAGAAGGATAACATACATTCACAATCAATCCATAAGAACAAGAGTTATCCCTTCTTAGTGGGTACAAATACTGATGCTTTGATTATCGATTTCTATAGTCAAATTAACTCGATTTGCACAAATAATTTAGTGATACTATCTCTTACAGCAATGCTGGAAATTGAAAATTCATCTCATTTCCCCGGTAGTGAAAAGTTTTTAGAAGGCATTAAGCTCACCTCCAGCTTCAGCCATTTACTCGAATCCTGCAGGCAACAACTACGAATATTAGCCCACAAATATCTAAGACAACTCCAATAAAACATACACAACTACTGACATGGCAAGATTTTTCTATGTTTAAAAATTATCTGTTGCACTAAAGAATTCATTCAATGAAGAATCCATAATATAGCAGAACATAAAAGACAAAGGATAGAAGGGAACTACTTCTTTACATATGATGTTAATGTCAAAAAATGATCTGCTTCCTAAAGCTGAATATAACAACTAGGTCTTCTAACCACAAAAACTTAATTCCTGTGATGAAAGTAAACAAATATGCCCTGTACTTACCATACCAGGCTTTCTTGCAACTTCGATGTACTTGTAATTGATTGTTGGGTCTATATGCTGTATATTACCAACTCCTTTCTCAGCGGACTTTCTTGCTTTGTCGTCCAAAATCCCTCCAGTAAACGCATTTTTCCTCATGCCAGAGTCATTGGCACACAAATGTTTCTCATGTCCAACATCTCTGGATGGAGGAAAAGCATGTGCAGCATATCTTGGACCTTCAGCTACAAGCAGCACGGTTTTGGCATCAATTAACCCAAGGCCAAGCTTAGCTCAGAGGAGCATTGAAACGTACCTAGAGGGACTGGAAGCTTCCTTTTCTTCAATGGATCAGCATATGTACTCGCAGGCAAGACTGTTTCAGAATTCTTCACTGTAGTTGCAGCATAAGGCCGCTTTTTCGCAGTCTGTCTACTAGCTGGAATATCTAGAGTAATGTGTCCTGCATGCGACTCAATTTACTTGAGATCCTTACTTCTACAGTAACTGAATACTAAGAGAAAAACACACATTAAGGGCTGCAAACAATTATCTATATATTTGCACATAACTAAACAGTTTAGATGAACCACAGCCAGCCAGTTTAACCTTAAAGAGTTGAAATTGACTTTGACAGCTAAAAATATATTTGGTAAATCCAACTCAAAGAAATCATCTTAAACCTGCCGATATAATAAAAATCACCCCGTGCAATTTATCAATTATAAAAGAGTACACAAAGGGTAAAACTTATAATCAGCCTATCCTAACTTGGTCATGGCAAAGAATACACCTTCTACGCTGTGTAGTAACTCCAGCCCGTTATTTTGTTACCCTTTAGGTCAGGTATTCCTTCATTTATGAAAGAATTTATCTTGAATGCTTCATAGAAAGCCGTTATTTACTCTCTACTCTTTCTACCTTTTCAGCATGAGTTGCAAGAAAGGTAACAATGCCATGCAAAGGATGCTTTGAGTTTGATAAGAGAAAATGCATATAATATTGAAAAGCATATGTAATTAGTTTGTGCAATTGTTTAGAAAATATCAATAAATTTAATAATTATATAACCCATCTAATAACATTGCCTCGCTCAAATATTTGAACTGTACCATCTAGAAGAGAAGATTTCTAATACTACATTAGAACATTTCCTGTCAAAGTAAGACAATCCACGTTGACATTTTATCTGCACTTTCACCAAATTTAGACATGTTACACCATATCATACAAAAATATTTACTGATGGATATAAATATGAACTACTGCTTTAGCAATAACCTCGCCAACTAATGCCCCAGAAATGATTAATGACCACAGTTATAAGGACCATTTTTGTTACACTATCATTTATAAGCTCAAACTTTTGATCAAAAAGTATCACATGTTTCTTTCAGAACTTGGTCAGAACCAAATCTTATTGAGCGCTACAGTAGGAAAGGAAGGATTGCTTACTGTATGCAACTTTTTCTAGTCTTGCAGACTGATTAATCTTCATGGTTCTGACAGATATTTCTTCACCTTTTACGGTCAAACATGCTTTGGAATCAGCAGATAGACTAGGTTTTGTATCTTTCTTCATGTTAAAGAACCGATCCACTGCATAGAGGTTTTTTAATTTTATAATTAGACCATCTGAAAACATGAGGTAGAATAGGGAGATATTGAAACAAGCCAGTGATAAATGGACAAAGGACATTTTCTCCAATGAAATCAAATAACTAAGACATACAGTGCTAGAGCCAGAAAACCACATGAAAAGGATATAGAAGAATAACGTTGTTGCATTTGAGTTTTGAAGTCAACTTCAATGTGTCAAAATACAATTAGTTCTGAGCATTAACATTTCATGCGCAACATCCAAAAACATTCAGTGCATTCACCTTACTCTACTATTAAATTAAGAAATGCAAACGAGCACGATCCAATGACTAAGATAAGACGTGGGGCTTCCACAAAAATGATGACTAGAAAAATCATGAATCACTATTATCATATGTTTTTACAGGAGTATATGAAAGATTAAGATTCTTGTGAAATTATGAACTTAAATATGCAGATGGCTCATAGATTTAAATGTATCATGTGTTTCTTCATAAACTTTTATGTACAATGACTTCCACAAAAAAAACTAAAAAGGTCCTAGCCAACGGCAAAATATTAAGGTATAATGACTTTGGAAATACAGCACCAACGTAACACTCTTTCAGACCTGCAAGCATCAAAGCTTAAACAAACGTAGGAAGAGGAATTACAACCAAAATTCAAGCATTGTCAGGCATGATATAAGATCTCACAGTTTCCTAAGAAAATACACTTAAAAATGTCTTATTTTCAGTTTACTGCATGTGAAGAAATATATTTTTCATCATTGGAAAAAATGTAGTTGAAGAGAGTCTGCATTTTTTAATTCATAAAGAATAAGAATCATATAAGCGTAGGCCTTTTGTCATGGAAACTCATTTAAAGCATCTAAAGAAGCAACTTGAGTGAGATTATACAGAATGAAAAGTACACAAATAACCTTTGATTCCACTTATCAAACTTGGAAGTTTCTCAGATATTATGCACTTTCCAACATCAAAAGTGCGATAAAATATGTAATCAGCCATTCTTAACTCTTGATCAGTTGGCTGAGGATTTCTTTTGTGCTTAGATGTGCACAATATGTTGCACTTTCCACAAATTGCTTCCTGATGATCAATGAGAAAAGAATAAACATCAGAATCATTTAAAGAAAGTGTGGACTGTATGAAAAGATCAACATCAAGTTTGTAAAAATGAGTCATGAACAACTGCCTTTTGAGTGTTCTAACTAAAATAACAAACTAGTTACTTATTATTGAACTTCTCTGTGAAATAATTCTGTAGTGAGGTTGCTGAAGTTAGTCTCAATGTTTCAAAGTTGTTAATATCCCTTAATATTTGCAGGGTATTAATAGTTGAGAAATGCAAACTTCAAGGAGGTGATTCTAGTACCAACAGGAAGCAGATAAACTTTCGAAAGATAATGTTTTTCTTATAGATGAATAGAGTAGTTTCTGAAATCATTCCTCAGATATACAATGATGTGCCATGGAAAATCTGAAAAACTTCTTATTTTGAAACCAAGTTACCAAAGGGGAAAGGTTGGAAAGGCCTTTGCCATGACCAGAAGCTAAGAAAATTTCTCTCTGAAGAGGCTTGACATCTCCCAACCAATTAGCTATCTCAGTGGGACGAAAAAACCACACGACTTCAACTATCTTCTCAGAGTTTTCGGTCTCCCAAATATTTACAAGCTTACCAATGTCAGGTTCAGCTTGACCATCACGATGCATATACACACAATCATATAGTGTGTATTTAATATCATCAAGCGTGAATGACTCATACAAAGTGCGGACCCCCTTTCTAATGCCCCAACAAAATTGAATATCGGCATTTCCTTTTGACTCTTCTACTGATTTTTCTTCTTGTTTCTGAGGTTGGGACATAGCATACGTCTCCTTTTTATACAAGGATTTGCCAGAAATCTTCAAAAACGTAAACTGAAATGAAATACATTTGAAAGAAATTAATGGTGATTGTGACTTCAAATCTCTTAAGGAAATTAATGTAAACCTACAGATAGTGAATGCATAGATTCAATGAAAATCGTGTTTAAACCCCACCATAAGAAAAACACTTAAATAAAATCCCCACGAGTTTCAGACAAACCAACATATATTAGAAGGTGTCTGAAAGACATATCTCGAAGGTAAAACAGCTGAACGTACATTATCTACCACCATATTAGCCTGAACCATAAGTGGAAATAGTATAATCATTTAAAGTTATGAAGCCATTAGCCAAGTTGTAAGCAGTGAAGGCTGCATAGAAAACAATCAAATTAAAGGAACTCAAGTATTGTCTCAAAAGCAGAATAAATAGTCATCTCTTCCTGGAAAGAGTTTTTATGCACCACAGCCACAGGAATGGATTACTTATTATCAGGTTGTATAATGAAACTAGTGATTACTTTTTCCTGTGTAGAAAAACAACAGAATCATAACATTTTCATCACAACATTACACAACCAGTGCTGTATTTTACTTCAATAAATACTAATTGGAAGCCCACTCACATAAATGTCGTTTTGAATTATTTTTGACATGGATAATTGTTCATCTGTGCAACCTTGCAATTGACTCCAAATATGAAAAATATCGCCATTATTCATCAGTATGAACAAAACATGAATAAATGACAAAATAAGGTGCAGACTTGGACAGGAAGGTGGGGGGTAATATCTTAAACAAAACAGAGGGGAAACCATACGTAAACACCATCAACCACCGAGGCTCCCTAATCCTTGAAAAATAAATGAAATACTTCAATAAGGGCTAAGCAGTGGGGAAAAAGCATAGCGTATGCTGCTAACATTCTGCCTATGTGACCTGGAAACACACAGAGATACAGGCAAACGCAGAGAGAGAGAGAGAGAGGTGGGTAAAAGTAGCGCCACACGAAGATTAAGCAGCCGTGATTAATGAATAAAATCGAAGAAAACATAGTCCATTACACTACTCTGCTTGGTTATTACCGTAATCGTTGATATTCAGCGCCAAATAAAAAACCATTGCAAACATTTTACAATATGAACCCTCGAAGAGCAAGCAGGACAAAAGGCATAAGCTCAAGCCAAAAGCGTATAAAAACTTATTACCCACCTTGATAGGGAGGAATCTCACGCCCAGTACACGCTTGGTGTGAGTGTGCGGGTGACTAAAACCTATAGAGGGAACAAATTTACAAATGCCTTCAAAATGCTACTCCTTTTGAAGGAGAAGAATGAGAGAGAGAGCCGTCCAGAGAATGGATAGACACTTTTCAATAGCAGAGAATGGAAAAAAGTCTGAAAATGAGACGACCAAAGACGAGTATGAATTTCTCCAAAAATGGCAATTAATGGTAGGCAACGCGCGGGTGCGTAGCGACTAGGGCGGGCGGGTGCTAACATGTACCGGTGGCGCAAAATAGAGAACTGGGTTGTACAACTAGCTAGGCCAGATGATTTGAAGAGATGCCATGCAGTATAAGCGCGGCACTGCAAACATGGCACTTGTGAAATATCTCTAACGCGCTTCTGTTGCGCGTAGAGCCATGACAAGAAGACAATTTTTCCTTAGATTTTAAAATAACATTATCTTCCATGTTCCCTCTAGTAGTATTATTGTGATGCCAAAGAGGGTCGACTCCTCAAGAACACGTATAATCGAGCTCGTCTTATGCGTATCAAGAAGGCGGGGCGAGAGACCCGCACGCGCGCAACAGGCTCACACAGCAGTGTGCGCAGCAGAGCCGCATGGCGACGAGGCACATACGTCGAACATGAGCGAATATGTATAAGCCGTGAGCACAACTTATTGACAGAAACTTAATTGTAATTTATTATGCTTTTGTTAATTTATTATCATTTAGGACTTAGTTGCAATTCTAGCATTTTACTATCTTTAAAACTCATGTAATCATCTTTTAGAAAAAGTTATGCAATAAGAAATAAAATATTCTCGCGTTTGAGCAGAAATCTTGTGTTAACCAATTACCATCAGAGCGAATTTTCACAAATTTAAACTTATCGAATCACGATCTTCATTATTGGTGTTTTCATTGAGAGAATCAACCGTGTATCATCATGTCAAACATGGAGAAGATCGATCAATTGGAGGACAGTGTACGTTCAATCAACGAGGACACACAATCGAGAAATCGGGTAGTGGCCCAGATTAAGTAGATGTTGCTCCAAACTGCCGGTCGGCGAGCACGGAGGGCCGAAGGCTCATATCCATAATCGAACGAATCAGTAGATTCGAAAAAAAAGCCCGAATTTCATAACGAATTCGCGGATGAGGATGGTAACCGTTCAAGGGGCTCGAATCATCGAGAGTAGGGCTGAAAGACCAAAATTGATCCTTTCTACCTTTAATGGAGCAAACCCGAATTCGTGGTTGAGCCACGCCACATTATTTTGAAATCAACGACATACTGAAATTAGAGATGCTGAAATACAATGTCTATTATCTCAATTGAGAAACAAACGTATAGTGGTAGTGGTTATCGAGGGTTTACAATCCACTCGAAGAACTTAAAAAAGATTAACTACACGATTTGGGGCGTCAGATTACCATGACTATGATGAAGCTCTCTCGAATATAAAAGAGTCGGGAAGTCTACGGGAACATCAAAAGGAATTTGAACGAATAGCGAGTTGGGTTCACGATTGGGCGGAAGGAGCACTTGTGGGCGCTTTCATCGAAAGTTTGAAACCCTACTTAGCAGTTGAGGTTCTCTTGGAGAGGCCCAGAACCATGCACACAACCACGAATATCGCACGCATACGTGATGATCACTTGGCAACTATGCGCAAGTCTAGTCGACCCGAATCACGACGCCCGAGCCTATTTTCTGTCCGGACACCTGAAGTCGGGGACGGAGCACCGGTGGAGAATGCGAGGCCGATACCTTCGAGGGTTATACAACTACCTTGGGATGAGATGTAGAGATGACGAAAGAAGGGTCTGTGTTTCAATTTAGATGAGAAGGTTGCGCAAATAATAACATTCCATTCTTCTAATGAGGAAAAACAAGAAGAAGATGAGCCAAAGTATGACATAGAGATCTCAGTTCACGCTATGGCGGGGACCCAAGGACCGAAAATAATAATATTACCGGCATGGATAAGTGACCACCAAATGGTAGTGCTAGTCCATAATGGCTCGTCCCACAAGGGGTGACTGGTCCTACCAAGAGCAAATGGTAGTGCTAGTCCCAAAATTTCAATCATATTTTCACAACCTTAAGCACATCTTCTCATTTCTTCTTAAACATATTAAAGAGGATTTCGGATTCAACACCTCTCTTTAGGAATTTATAATCAAAGGAAAGAGGGTTCAAATTTGAGGGCTCGGACGCAGACACGGCTACTTCTCGCGCTCGCGGACGGAGTCTCCTGGGCCTCGGATACTCGCTCTCGTGCGTGGTCTCCGATGCCATCCTCGGTGGTTTGCTGCGTGCTCCCAGGCCTTGCTCGCGGACAGGGAGTCAGCGAAGCGCAACTGCAGTTTCTCGACAAGGCGGCTCGCGGCGAGTGGCATCGGGCGCTCGCGGTTGCTCGGGTTGCACGACGAGAAAGGTGGATTTTTGGAGAGACTTTGAGGGAAATTGTGAGAGAATTCTTAAGGATTTTGGAAGGCTACTATGCGGCTGCTCAAGGTCGAGATTGAGGTAAATTTTTAGATCTCAAAAGTGTCATGGGGAGGAGGAAAAATTAATGGGGGAATGAGATCAAAGATTCCTTAGTGAGGGTGATTTGGGGCTGCTATTTGGGGAGATTTGGGGTTGATTAGCCGGCCAAACAAGGAAGGTGTTGAGGGAGGAGATCATACCATAAATTGTTCACAAGGATTTGAATTTCAGAATTCAAAGTGGAGCCAAATTTTTGCATAAGGGGGTCGTATTTTTGCTAGCAAAAGGGCCGAGTTTATTGAGCTTAAAGGGCAAAAAATATGGGACTTTGCTTAGTAAAAACAATTAGCAAAAGAATCAAAAGATTTTTTCTTAGCAAAAGAATTGCAGAAATTTGTACTAATTTAAATAGACCATGACATCTACATAAATTAGTTAACTTCTTGGATTAAAAAGACAAGGAAATCTAAATAATCTTAAAGAACTTATTATACTTAGTCGAGCTTAATAAAACAGAATGTAATGCAATGCACACAATAAATAATATAAAATGAGTTGTACCAATTAATTGAACGAGGCACTACATGTTCGACTTTTGCATGCGTCTTTTCTGTTAGACACTCTTACCATGATGAGTTGAAACATGCATCTCTACTATATTATATAAAGGAGGTAGCGACCTTTATGTAGCGACACGTTATGGCCTTTATGTTGCGACAGATGCCCATAAAAAATGACCATATATGTTCCTCAAGTTTCTTACTAACAATACAATAAATGGGCTTTGTTGGTCATTTGTTGTGTCCCATTTTTAGGTCTAGCTTAATTCTTAGGCAAACAACTACTTACTTTCCACACGATGTGATCGCTCAAAATTTCTCTCCCAAACTTATGAGGCCGAACGAATGGTTCTAAGTTGTTATTCTCACATCGTCCAACCACATCGCCTTGGTCGTGGATCGCTGCACCTTGGATCACCACTCGCGGGACTCAGTCTAGTCTTATGCGCCACGTGGCTGCGGGAGGTTAGGTCGCGTGTGTTACTCGCTGAATGACGCTGGCTGCACTGGATCACTTCCACATGCGCCTCGGTTGCAGGGATATTGCACATCTTGCAGGGTTGTCACGTGCATGCGCCTGGCCTCATACGGTGGTCGCCAGGGATAGGTCTCATCGCGTTGGTCGTGCGGTGATGCTCAGGGATAGACGAGATGCGTGTGATGATTCATTCCTTAGATGAGCTTCAGGACATCTGTTATATGATAAACACCTCTCCGTTCGTCTTCGTGGACAACGAGCTCGGAGATTTCTTGATGATTCCTAAGACTCACAAGATCTCTCTAAAGTTGTGCTTTTTAGAATTCTTCTAATGTTGCACGTGTGAGACATCAAGGGGAATGAGTCATTTAAAGGTTACAGCATGGACCTTAAGGGGTGCTAAATATGGGATCCACAAGTGTGGACCCAACTGTGGGTCTAGCCCACTCCATTGACACTTGGATAATAATCTAGTCCACTAAAAAAATATTATTGGACTCCCCATTTAACTCCTAAATTACAATGAGGCTCCAATATAATTACTCGATTAACCTCCCTGTGTTTAAGATATAATATCCGTAAATTAATTTGATTACTGACATTATAATTAATTTACTTCTTGATCCGAAGCTATTACTACTCAATTCCTTATTGTTATGTCAGAATTCAACCTGCATGCAGGGCTTGACTTAATAATTCTTCTCGAGCTTACTTCGGGAACATCATCAAACCAACGCACAAAGTGACTGTAAATAATCGAAAGCCACACCATACAAACAACATCACTACCCAACTCACCTGCACTATTGATCCAACAAAATGGATCTCACTTTTTAGTAAATCAAAATAACAGCTACAAAACGCACATGTCCATTATTATCTTACGGGTTAATTAAGAGTACGCAGTAAGTACCGAGGTCTAGTTTATTTAAATGATCAACATTAAATAAACTTATTCTTCACAGGATCCATTCAGTACACTAATAGTGTACTAGTGCAATTCATCAGTCAAGACTAACCAATCTAAATTACACTACAACCATCCGCGGTGGGTAGTTCAATTCCATCTACGTTGTGAACTAATTTATTTATGTTTTACAAATAATAGATAATATGGTCTTCCATCCATTCGTGATGAACCATAATTATCTAAATGTAAAATATCAGAATGTAGAAGCATTTAATTATACAAGATTCTCAGTCAACCGAAAATAGTGTTTATAACGTAAAAAACAAAGATTTCAGTATGTTCACTAACAATCTTCCACTTATACATAAGGATTTTGCTTTTCTTAGTATATATCTTTCAATCTTATTCTCAAAGACCTATGTCAATCCTATCGCCAAACATCTACTCTCATTCCTTCCATGTGTCTGTCGAAGACTTTATTAGGCAAAATCTTTGTGAAAGACTCCTCTAGGTTGTCCGCTGATGCTATTTTGGCAACTATGACTTCTCCTCTTCCTACGATGTCTCGTATCAGGTAGTATTTGAGCTTTATGTGTTTACTCTTCGTGGCTAGTTTGAGTTTGCTACTGCACCACTGTTATTACAGTAAACTGTAATATCCTTTGGCAAACTCGGCACCAATCTAAGCCCAATAGGAAATTACTGAGCCAGAAAACCTCTTTGCTGCTTCAGAAGCTGCGACATACTCGACTTCCATGGTGGAGTTCGCTTGACATTCTGCCATACTATGGCTCCACCTTCTAAAGTAAACACACATGAGGTAGATTCACTTTTGTCCCGATCTGACTTGAAGTCGAGATCGGTGTAACCAACATGAGTCAATTGTCTTAATGGTAGACCATCATATAGTCCTTCGTCCTCTTCATGTACCTGAGTATATGCTTCACTGTGGTCCAATGACCTTGTCCCATGTTACTTTGATACATGCTCACCATGCCTATCACATAGCATATACCTGGTCTCGTACATAACATTGCACACATGAGACTTCCTACTATCGATACATAAGAAATCTCTCTCATGACTCTATCTCTTGAGGCGTCTTGGGAGACATCTCCTTAGATAGTGGAATTCTTTTGTTACTTTTCTTAGATGGATAGGGAACGTCATTAGCAATAGACGTAATTAGGGGTTCTCTCTTCGTGGAGGTAGCACACGGGGAAACCACCGGAAGGACTAGGTAAGGTGTCAATAACAGGAGGAATGATACTCTCATGGTGAACTGCGGCGGATGGAGCGTCTGTGGCTATATTGTAGGTGGTTGTAGTGCAATTTTTCAGGTAATTGATCTTTCACTAACGAATTACATTGGTACATCTCGCATGTATTGAACGGGCCTACGAGAGGATAAGATTATATTATATTGACCAAATAAATAATCTAGACCTCAGTAATTGTTGCAAACAATAAATGAGCATATGAATTCAACATTTGCTTTACCAAGGGTGATACCTCTTCTGTTAAGTTGACATCCTGGTACTTTGATAACGGGTGTTGTTTTATGATGTGTTGTTAATATTGTTTAAGGTCACTGTGTCTCAGTCTATCGGGTTGATGACATCCTCAAAACGAGCTCAAGAAGGATTATTATGTCAAGCCTGACTGGCAGATTAATTTCCAACATAGTGATAAAGTATTGAGTGGTACTATTTTCGGATAAAGAAGTTGATATTATATTGTAAGTAATTAAATTAATCAACAATGTTATATCTTAAACATTGGGAGATAAATCGAACAATTAGTCGGGAGACGAAATAATTGATTCAGAGCTAAATGGAGAGTGAAATAATATTACTCTAGTGGAATGTTCTATTATTCAAGTGTGAACGTAGAGTTGGGCATCGGCCAACTAGTTGTGTTCACACTTGGGGGCCCATACTTAGCATCTCCTTAGGAACCTTTTTGTAGCTTATAAATACACTAAATCCCTTAGCCTCCAAAAGTTCCATACGTGTGAATTAATGTGAGATTTTTTTTCTCTTTGGAGAAATTTGAATAAAATTGAGTGGTCTTAAGATAGAAAATCGAGAGGCTTTGGGACTTCCGTTAAGTCGCACCATAAGACTATTCAGAGAAGGCGTAAAGGTCATACAACAGAAGATCCCGAGGTCTTGTTTTCGCATCCCGACAAATATATATGTCTTCACGACACCTCAAATGACAATGAAACTTGGAGATCACCATCATCGGAGGCCAAGGCAACCACCGGTGTGATCATCTTCACCAGTCGCACCTCCACGTGCCACTGTCGGACCACCACGCGCCGTCGCAGGTGACCCGTGCACAGCCTGCAGACGCTGCGTGGAGCCACAGGCGACCGCACACAACCCGCAAACGCCGCGTACAGCCCGCAGACACTGTGCAAAGTCTGCAGGCAAGCACGCACAACTCGCAGGGACCGCACAGTCCGCAGGTGCCGCGTGCAGCCCACAGACGACCGCGCATAACTGCAGATTACTTGCGTAACCCACGTGTAGACGCAGCATGACCTGCGAGCAACCTACGTGACCTGTGTGCATCTCGCGCAACCCGCATACATTTTACACGTCCCGCACGATCCCCACGATGCCTTGACGAGCTCAGCGTATACCAATACGTGAAACTCTATGACGTTCGGTGACCGGCAACCCAGACTAGCGACGCTCAGCGACCCAGACTGCTCCATGCTCCACGACTAGCCACCTACCAGCACTAGCACCTGCCAATGTGCGATCTAGAGCGTGCGGGCTGGCACTACACGAGGCTAACCGTGGTGACCCGACAACAGCGCGTGACTCTGAGGAGCTACGATTAGTGATCCGAGAAGGCGAACCAATGACTCGGGAATGACGTGCAGCGAGGAACGTGGGCTAGAGGACGTGTCTCAGAATTGTTCAGCTGGCCCCATAGGTCGTGTATGTCTGTACAGAGTTGAAAAAATTATAAACCATAAGTCCTGATCCTAACTATAGATTCCGTTGCGTTAGGATTTATTTTTCAAAGATTCGGATGTGCACATCGTCGACGTTCCTCATAGAACCCAATAACTGGTATTAGAGCCCAAACTAATTTGTCTTTGTGTACTATTCGAATTTGGGGTATTAAAGCCCAAACTAATTCGTCTTTGTGTACTATTCGAAGTTGGACTTAGTTGATATATGTAAATTAATTGTGTACTGGCGCAGTGCATAGTAGATTAGAATTGTTAATAATTGATTATTTCCAAGTGTTCTTGAATCCGACTACTGTGGTCCGTCTGTATGTGTTTAATTCATGTATATTTTATCAAGGTTGTCAAAACCGGACCGATCATCGAACCGGTGAAGCTATTGGTTTAATGGTTCACTAGTCGGACCAGTGGTCGAACCGGTCTAATTAATATATAATTTTTTATTTATTTCATATGTTTAATATATAATTATATATATTTATCATTAATTTATTAATTTTATAGTGTATGACATTTCTCTAAATAATAACTTAATAATAAATACAACCGAAAATATTGATTAATGTCTATAAATAATTTTGAAGACAATAATTTTTTAAATAATAACTCAATAATTTTATTCATTTTAAATCACATTTTAAATTTATTATTTTTCATTAAAAAATAAAGTATATTTTTAAATTTATATGAGACTAAATAATTTTGAAGACAATCAAAACTCAAAAAATATTATATTGTGAAACTTATATGAATTTTATATATAATCATTTTAGATTATTATAAACATTGCACATTTAAAAACACCAAACAATTATTTGAAAATAAATAAAAACTCAAGACCATCTTCATGTTATATTCCGAATTCTAATTTAGGTAAAATCATATCATATATTACATCATTTTGTTGAAATTGACAAATAAATTGGCCAAACATAACAAAACAATTTTCCACAAGTCTTTTAGTTTATAGTGCCCAATTGAGAGTGAGGTGGGCCTCAAATCTGGCCCATTTTCTTCATATCATCAGGCCCAGCTTTCCTCCCCAACACAAGGAATATATCCTTGTCCCACATCGGAAGCTGAATGCAATGCAACTGTATATTTAGTGTAGAACTTAGGCTACTGTTGTCAGATTCAATCAACCGTTGGGCCGTGCGAACTGCCACTGGTTTACAAGTTTTTGACCTATTTGAACGGTTTTTGACACTGGCGGTTACGCACCTCAATCCGAATCGAAGTGCCAACAGGTTCTCGGTTAAACCGGTCGGACTGGGCGGTCTGGTCCAGTTTTGACAACCTTGTATTTTATAAGCTTCAGACATATCGGGAATTTTTGGGTTGGTAAATATTTGTAATAATTTATTCGCGCGGTGGTATACTGCATAGTTTAAATGATTTACTAGATCATTCATGTACGACACATGCGTGGGTCGTATGACAGAATTATGTAATTGTCCTTATATTATGTAATTGTTCGATTGGCCCGGTGGACGCGGACGGGCCCGGACGATCAAAATGACAACCGACACACCCCGACGAGGCGAACCAACCGCAACCCCACGGTCGCTAGTACACGTGGTGTTGTGCACACGCAGGCGCACCCGCTGGCAGCATGACTGCCGGTCGCATGTACTACCAAGGGGATCTTATTTCCACTATTGTTGAGAATACCTACCCAATATTCAAGAGTTAATGTGACGATCTTAGCTATCAGAAGGACAACAAGATACTCGCTCCCCACAGTTAATGTCGTTGAGTCCGTTAATGAATATATGAACTCATTGAACTCCTCCGAGAGAAGGACATATTTGAGTTCGAATGTGGAACTATAACTGGTTCGAGAATTGGTTAAGGTTATTACTCCTAGGCTTATAGATACAACCTACTATCATGGTTTTATATGTCATGACAATAAATAAGAGTCACAGTCAATCTCTGCCGTACGTGGGCATAGTTCTGAAGAACCTTGTTTCAGTCATGGACAACTATACGTGGCTCTTCCCCGAGTCACGAATCGAAAGGGTTTTAAGATAATGATTCGTGGTGATGAAATATCTGAGGATTGGAAAATCATGAATGTCGTACATAAAAATATTATTATTAATATATAGAGTTCTTTCTTATTTCATTATTTTTCATTGATTAAATTATGATTTACTGAGATTATGTTTTTGTATTGTTTATTCATCTAATAATTCGGCTTACGTGCGTGAGCACAGGTTGATTACTAGTTAAGATTAATCTGCTAGTCCAATCTTTTAATTATGATGAAGATATTACGTGTGATTAAAAGTAAGTGAATCCATACAAAATAAAAGAGGAGCCAATTTCGGGTGCTATTAAATACAGATTCCCTTAATAGTTACATGGCCAAAAATAGATAAAACCAAGAGGTCGTAGGAAAGAAAATCGAGAGGCTTTGTGAGTTTCGTTTAGTCGCACCATCAGGACTATTTGGAGAAGGCGTAAAGATCATACAACAGAAGATCCCGAGGTCTTGTCTTCGCATCTCGACGAATATATATGTCCCCGTGGCACCTCGAATTACCACAAACCTCGGAGAGCGCCATCACCTGAGGCCAACGCAACCACCAACGTGATTAGCTTCACCAACCTCACCTCCGCGCGCCACCGCTAAACCACCACGCGTCGCCACAGGTGACATGCGCACAGTCCGCAAGAGACCGTACACATCCTGCAGACGTCGCGTGCAGCCCGCAGACATTGCGCAAAACCCACAGCGACCACGCACAACCTGTAGATGTGGCGCGCAGACCACATGTAATCGTGCACAATTGCAGATGACCCGCGTAGACCGTGTGCATCCCGTGCGACCCCGTTGATGCCCTAGTGATCCCAACGCATACCGGTACGTGAGACACGATGACTCTCAGCGACCGGCAACCCAGACCGGCGACGCTCGTCGGCCAGTGACCCAGAATGCGCTATGCTCTGCCACCAACCACTTGCTAGCAATTGCAGCCGCCCAGATTCGTACTAGCGTGCAAGGGCCAACACCAACGTGCACCACGCGATCCGCGACAACCTGGCAACAACTCATGACTCCAAGGAGCTATGATCAGCGATCCGAAGAGGTGACCCAACGACTCATGAAGGACGTGCAGCGAGGAACATGGACTAGAGGATGTGTCTCTGAACCATTCCTCTGGCCCCGTAGGCCATGTGTGTCTGTACAAAGTCAGTAAAATATTAAAATGTAAGTCCTGATCCTAACTATAGATTCCTCTGCATTGGGTTTTATTTTTAACAGATTACAAATATAAAATATAATTACAATGTAATCAAGCTTACAAAAATTGAATTATTGAGTTATAAATAATACATACACACGCGCGCGCACAGACACATATATAGTTAACTTTATTATCATTTTGGAAAATCAAATATAAAACATGTGTATTGTTTCAAATAATCAACTTTATTATTCTTTAATTATTAGTTGTATTTTTAATTTTTTATTATTCTATTATAATAATATAAATTTATTGACTTCTTTGTTTTGATAAAATTATATAATATTCAAGCACTCGTGTTGTTCATGGGTGTTATATTAACTGTCGAATAAATTAATTATTATATTTAATTTTACCAAAATAAATATATTAAATAAAACAAATAATACTTCATAAAAATATTTTCTATAATTCGAAATGATATTTAAAAAATACTTATTTATTAATTATTTATAGTTATTTTTATTACATAATAAGAATTTCAATTCTTTCTCATTTTTTATAGTTATTTTTGTGAAACACTCGTGTAGTACACGGACGATGTACAAGTTATGATTGTTACTTAGATTTATAGTTTTGTATTGTTTACTCGTCTAATAATTCTTCTTATGTGCATGAGCACGGATTGATTACTAGTTAAGATTAATCCTCTAGTCCAATCTTTTAATTAAGATGAAGATATTAAGTGTGATTAAAAGTAAATGAATCTATACAAAATAAAAGAGGAACCAATTTAGAGTGCTATTAATTAAATACAGATTCCCTTAATAGTTACACGGCCAAATTCGGACAAAAAAGAATAAGAAAGGAAAAAACCAAAATAACATACGAGATTCAGAGCGAAAAGGTTGCATGTTCAAGTGGTTGTGATGACATATTTTAAGATCCAAGACATATAAACTCCGGTCAATACTTGTCAATAAAGACATTTCCATCAAAATCACATTTTCTCCTAAATTATCCAAATTCGTCTTGTTGTAACGCCACGCAATGAAGGTTGATTGAGATCTTTTTCCATAATTATGGGATTCATCAATAACTTCTTCCTAACTATTTAAGTTGAGCCACGGCCAGCTCTGTCCGTTCAAAATTTTAAACACACACACACCCCCCAAATAANATAATCATTTACATATGGATACATCCGAAGAATCCCCAGCTGACAATAGCCTGGAGAATAGTATTGTGGTGGATCTAAAGCTTGCCAACGGTGCCGATGAGCTGGCGAGTAATGGCAGCCCCAACTTGAAGTTCGAGAAGTCCCACAATCGGAAGACGTTTATGTGCAACTTTTGTCACAGAGAGTTCTCGACTTCCCAAGCATTAGGAGGCCACCAGAACGCGCACAAACAAGAGCGTGCTATAGCCAAGCACGGCCACGGGAGCACCTCTGGCTATACATACTACGCCTACCCAGGCTTTTACGGATCTTTTAATAATAAGCCGCCACTTGGTATTATTAAGTCCGAGTCAATGATTCACAAACCCTACCGCTATCAACCTCCTTGGCCACCCTCATCTGGGCCCTACGACTATCGGTTAGGACACGAGAAGGTGTCTAGGGCTTACTTGTTAGGCCCACCGTCATTAGGGCCGTACGATAAGTTGACAATGGAGAAAATTCGTTCGGCGGTTCAAATTGGTGGCGGAGGGTCGAGTGCGGGTCTCAAGTTAGAACTTAACCTGAACCCTAGCGTTAATCCTGGTGCAACGACCCAAGGCAATGATAATCGACGGCAAAGATTGGGGAATGCCGGCGGTGGAAACAATCAAATGGATGAATCGGGGATTGATTTGGATCTAAAGCTTTAATTTATCTTCCCTTTTACCATTGTTTTTAAATTTTTTTACATTGTTCAATTTTCGGATTTTAATCAGGTTTGACTCTGGACATACAGCATATCCTATATATGTATTTATTTTATTTCTTGTAATCAAGTATCATTTAAAGTATTTTAATTATTGATTCTTTGTCATTAATAATGATGATTGATTTCTGCACGTACTTTTAAAATTCAAAATATGTTAATTAGTACTATATATTAATATAACTCATTAATTAGTCTTGACAAATAAATAATTATAAATTGTATAAATTAAACAAGTGAATAAATAATTTTGGATAATAATATTACTTTTTATCTTGTTATAGTAATGGAAATTAAATAAATGACTTTGAATATTATATTTCATTTTATAGTATATAATAGTGTGATATATGGTTATATATGTGTGAATTTCAAACATTATAACATGGGTGTCATTTTAGAGTTTATGCTTAGAATTAAAAAATAAATAAAATATTAACATATTCTAATATATCAATAAATAATACTTACAAAAATACTTATCTGTATTTCTGGCGTAGACTGCATTATTATTATTATTATTATTGGCATAAGTATCTTGGAGAATAAGTTAGAAATTAAATATTATTATAAGAGATGTTGTCTTGTTGGACAAGTTAGGAATAGGGTTTAGGAGTCTTATTTAAAGGACTCTCTATCTATTGTTTTAGGTAGTTGAATTTTGAATGAAATAAGATTTGATTGGTGTTATCGAGAGTGTATATCGTTTATCCTTCTCACTCGTACGCTTCCTACATCAGTTGGTACTAGAAGTCAGCACGATTCACATTGCTGTCGTGAAGACAAGATGCTGCAAACGACAGGCGTGTCGCCGCCATCTATAACCTGAGCCGCCTAACCAAGTGGTTTGGCCGCCGGCTCTAGATGATGGATCGTCGGATTGCAGATCTGCCCGCGGAGATTGGGGACATACGTCTAACTATCTGTACCATAGTTTGGGACAAGCAAACATACCGTGATGCCGGCAACCGGGGCGTGTGCGAGGGATTTCGCGGAGTACGTGGAGGCTGTGGTCCAGGCGGGGTGCTCCGCCGGAGATCTCCACAACTACCGTCCGACGACGATGACGGCGAGGCCACAATCTCGGAGGTGAATCCCTCTGACTCTTAAATGAGTACTCACTCATGAGAATGTATAAAATTGTATGTTGTAAGCGTAAATATACAAAAGTTGTAGAGTAAAACTTGGTCTTGACGCATCGAGTTCACTCATCCATGCCCTTGGGTTACCCGACCGATTGGCTTGAAGCTTTCATCTCTTGTTGAGAACTTCTGCCCATAACGAAAGGGTTTCGGTAGCACCCGGCAAAATGATGAAAAATGTCAATTATTGCTCGGTTTCACGAATCAGATTGTGAATCAAACCTTTGCTTGCAACCAAGAAACTGGGGAATTCCTCTGACCTATTGACTTCCTGGCAGCCAATCCTGGCTATGACCCTCTTTAGATCGTTCTGTAATATTCCAGTGGTTGCCGCAAGGAATGACGTCATCGGTGAGCTTGTGAAGCAAGGAAAGGAAGTACAGATTCAAACTCTGATTCCGAATCAGTCGTCCCCCAAAAAACCTCTATGACTGAACTTCACTTCACCCTTTAAATACCAGGGTGTCTTGCTACCAAAGTAAAGTCCCGACTAGGAAAGAGATCCTACCGTATCTACTTTGCTAGCTTATCATGCCTTAAGAACCTTAGACTCATTAGTGAGATAAACTTTACATTCTTAAAGGAGTCTGTACTATCTTACCATACGACACTTAGGTCATTAGGTCATTCGAACGACCTTGCAACCTACCTGCCACAGACTCTAGCCATGTCGTAACCACGACCTCTACCTTCACGACCTTTTGATCATGATATGCAAACGACTTGATATGTTCTCTAACTTGTTCATAGATCTGCAAAATGGGTCCGGAGGGATTTTCAGTGTTAGCACTCCGACGATCAAGTCATTTCACAAATGGAAAAGACGATGAATAGTGTATGTAAAGCTCTTTAGGTATGTAGAGGATATAATATTACAATGAATGTATCTTACCCCTTTATATAGGGGTACGTTACCATGTTGTCCAAGACTGCCGGGATGAGCTGCCCAGACTGCCCAAAGTACCTGACTATACTGCTTGGATTGCCCAATTCTATTAGGCCACGTGGCCCCATTCACGTGTGGTTCTTATCTCAATAATATTTCTTCTTATCTATTAGTCTATCTTATTAGATTGTCTAATTGTGCGACTAACCCAATGTGCCTCAAGATAGAGTGCTCCATGTGCTTAGTTCGTATGCCCTGCTCATCTGGTCAATCAACCGACCAGTCCTGCCTTCAGATCGAGTTTCAACCAGGTCATTCTAGGGTCCTAGCTCAACTTGTTGGTGCTCCTTGGATCTGCGATGTCCTCATCAACCTGAGGAATCCTCGATCTGTAGCGCCTTCGATCTCTGTTTGACCTATCAGTCCACCCGGTTTAGTCAAGTTGTTTCTCGAGTCAAGTCAACTTTGTATGGTATCCCATATCATTTGGTCCTCCTTAACTCTGGTCGAGTTAAGGTAACTCGATCTAAGAGTGAATTCGACTTTTTTTTGGTCTTGGATGGTTAGCTCATGTCTTGTTTCATCGACCTGATCACTTACTTTCCCTTTATTTCTGTGAGAATATTCGACCTCTAGTTAGGGTTCTGTATTCAAAATTTGAATTTCAAATCTCTACCACCTATCCAATCAAATCAATGAAGCTTCATGTCTACTATTACTTAGCAGTCTATGTTTCCCACGTATAGTGCGCCTATTAAATGTCGCGTTGATATTGTCCATTCGATTTCCTCTTTAATATGACGGTCACATTCGACATGTCCTTTCAACTACTGCTTTTAATCTTGACTGTTAAATCCAACGACGATCTAGCGGTTGGGGTCGATCAATCCCTTGGCCTTCAATCTCCCTTAACCTAAAAAATGGGGCCTTAGCCAATTTTAACATGTTTTTCATTTTAGCGAAAAAATTTTCTCCATTATAACTCTCTCTCTCTCTCTCTCTCTCTCTCTCTCTCTCTCTCTCTCTCTCTCTCTCTCTCTCTCTCTCCCGCCGTTTGCAAAAATCGAAGTCTCAGTTGTCGTTGCTCCACCGTCGACCACCACGTTCCACAGTTTTCTGATCAACCAAGCGATTATGTCAATGAGTAAGTCTTCTATTCTTGTATTAATGTTTACATGCGCAATTTTCCTTTTAATTTCTCCACACAAAACCCCATATTTAAAATTCAAATTCCTTCTTCTAATGCTTAAATTCTCCTTTTTCTTTATTTTTTCAGATTCTTATACTTCCAGTGAGTCCGATAAATTTTTCGGGTAGGATATGAGCTCTCCATCATCCTGTTCGACTTATACTCCTCCATTCACTTTTTATCCTTCACCCTTTTGGACCTTATTCCTCAGCCGATTCTTGTGTCCACTCAGCCTACTCCGGCTTCCTTGACCACACACTCATCTTCTTGACCTACTCAATCACCTCCAATTGTCCGTCCTTCTCTTCTTCCGCTAAAATTGGTCGGTGAATCCAAATTCAAAGATGAAGAGGAATCGAGCTCCTTTTGTCGACCTCAATCGACGAACAACTTCATCCCCGTGGGTCGACCCATCCCTGGTGCCACTCACCACACAGCCCAAGATATGGTCACCGTGGCTCACAAACCGAGTTTATTCCTTAACATAATGGCGGATTGGCTGGACAACTTCTTGGCCAACTGCTGTCTATCCTAAAACTTGCGATTTGTGTCAACTCGATCTCTAGACATCTACGACCATCCTCCGACCGGTTGCTACACCTTCTTCTGTGACCAAATGGAGTTAGGTCTTAGGTTTTCTCCCAGTCAGGCACTTTTGGACATGTGCAGTGTATATGAACTCCCCCTAACAAACTTTCACCGAACTCAATCTGTCACTTAGTCATCTTTTCCATTCTTTGTTACTGTAGACTAGATCATATTGACAAGGAATTATTTTTTTACTACTACGTTGCTAAGGAGCAAAAGGGAACTTTGTACATCCAAGCTCGCAACGGTGCCAACTTCATAAGCGACCTCCCATCCAACATTCCTCAATGGAAGAATATTTTTTTTTCATTCGACCTTCTTCGCCTCTTTCATTTGACTCGGCCTTGTTAGGTTTTCTACCTTCTTTGGTCTATCTTCATTCTCAAGACCCCACCTTCGACCTCATGATAAAAAACTGGAATAGTGCCCCTGTTGCCTCTTATATCCTTCTCGACCATGTGCCGTTGTTTTTCCCATTGCAGTCTCTCCCCGAGGCGTCATCCTCGTCAAACTGACGATGAATTGTGTAAATTTTCTTTCTATTAACGCATTATGTATGTATTTGTTGTGGTTCTAACTTTGTCTTCTTCTTTTCTTGCAGAAGGATTATTCAAGTTGAAGGTCACCTCATCGACCACCGGTGAGAAGGAGACAGGCCCCTCCGACCATGCTGAAAAACATCCTGATGGACAATGTAGACACCCCTGTGACAAAATCCAAGGGGTTGAAGCAAGCTTAATCTGAGGGGTTTTTGGGCAAAAAACGTCTAAATTCCCGAAATGGCGGCACGAGCTCGAAGCAAGCTCGCATTAAACATGTTTAAATGGATACTTGGGTCGACTCTACAACAACTCAGGTCGACGCTCCACAAGTTGGTCCTACTCCAACGACTCAAGTCATAGCTCCACAGGTCTTTGCGACTAACTCTGATGGTTCGGCGATCACCTCTTCCTTAATGAGGTTTCTTTCTCATGTCGAGATCCAACATTAGGGGCTCGATCGGAAGGGTTGAGCGGATTCTGCGGCTAAGGGCTTAACCCATGTATTATCTGTTTTTCTGCTTTTAAGTGATTTAAGATAAATTTTCCTTTGTTTGTGCTCTATCCCGTATAACTCCTTCTCTTTTCACAGTTCTTGTCGGTCGTAGTTCCCATCCTCGATGAGAAGGTCGGCAGCTCTAGTCTATAAATCCAGGTCCTTAAAGTGTAGAAAAAGGCCCTAGTGGATGAGGTCAACCGCCTCACTTAACTTAAGTTCGACCTTGCGTAGGAGCTGTCGAAAAAGGTCGTCACCTTTAAGACGACCTCAAAGCCAAGGAGGCGGAGCTAAAAAATGAGAGGTTTCATCGAGAGGAGGTCAAACTAAAGTTTGAAAAGGAGACTTTGGATGCTCTTACTCAAGGTCAGATAAAGGGTCGACATTACTTTTGCACCACAAAGTTGGGGGCTGTTATTCTAGATGCCTATTGAGAGCAAGTCGTCGAGGAATTTTGCCGATCCCCCAGCTTTTGGAAGAAGCTTGCGTTGGGTTATGTGAGGAACGTTGTCGATATGCACATCCAAATCTATTAAAATGAATCCTAATGGAGAGGAATCTATAGTTAGGATCAGGACTTATGGTTTAAAAAATTTGCAGACTCTGAGATGACTTACACAGCTTACAGGCATAGACGAACATTTTTGAGATACGTCCTTGAGCCCACGTTCCTTGCTGCTCCTCGTTAAGCCTCAGGTCAAGCATCGGGACCACCGAGTGATCGTCCTGGGTGCTGCACTGCGTGCAAGTGCCTAGCTGTGTGTCGCTGCGTGTGCTGTCTACAGTGTGATTCATCCACGTGCAACTGCGTGTCATGGCTGCATCATGCGGCAATGCACTGCGACTGACATTGTGCTCTGGCATGCGTTGCGGATGCGTGTGTGCGTGGGCAACGCATAGTCACTAGCGCGTGCCTCCAGCATTGTGGTAGCGGTGCGACCGTGGTTCTGATGGATACAGTGGTTGCTATTGATTATTCTCTCTAAGTTTGGTGGTGATCGAGCAATCCTCGGGGATAAATATATTCACCGAGATGCGAAAAACGAGACCTTACAATCTTCTGTCGTATGAACTCTGCACCTACTCCGAGTAGTATTGGTGGTGCGACTAAACGAAACTCCCAATCCTCATGATCTAAAACTCACAATTTCTCTTTCTTGTGGGAGACCTAAAAAATGTATGAATCAATATGTGGGATGAGGCTTAGGACTTGGTGTATTTATAGACTACAATAAGGACCCTAATGAGGTGCTAAATATGGGCTCCTAAGTGTGAACACCCATAATGGGCCTGGCCCAATTTTTTCTTTCACATTTTAATAAGAGAACATTTCAAGAGAGAAAAATCGTGAGTCTTAGATTGTAGGTTTGGGAGTTCAATTTAGTCGCAGCACCAAGATTACTCAGAGTAGGTGTAGAGTTATAACAGAAGATCATAAAGTCTCGTTTTTCACATCTTGGCGAATATATTTATCCCTGGGGATCATTCGATCACCACAAAACTTGGAGAAAACGATCATTGACGACCACCGCATCCGCTGGACTAACCGCCGCAGCAACCAAAGCACCACTATGCCATTGCCACCGCAACATCGCGTCGCACATCGGACTCCCATTGTCGCACGATGCCCGTGTATTGCAGCCCTGTACATGCACAGATCTACGTGGCATGCCAGCACGACACAACCTCGTATGTGCATCACAAGCATGCCAGCCGCAGATCACGCCCGTAGATGTAGTCTCAACACGCACGCACACGCACGTGGATGATGTCAACCGCAACCATTGCACACACAATGACACCAAGTGAGGCACTCGCACGCAGCGATGCAATGCACACCCGCGGCGACCACTTGGCGACCCCAACGCACGACCAACAATCTCGACGAGGGGAACCGAGGCTCAACAAGGAGCATCAGAGAACGTGGGCTCAAGGACGCGGCTGTTCGTCCAACTCTGTAGGCTGTGTAAGTCACCTCAAAGTTGACAAATTTTTGAAACTGTAAGTCCTGATCCTAACTATAGATGCGTTAAAGATTTATTGTAACAAATTTGGATGTGCATATCGACTATGTTCCTCATAAAACCCAACAAGGGATTAGATATCAAATTGGGGATGGTCAATTTGTTATAGTGTGGGATTTATCCTGGGTACCTTGTCCTTATTTTTTTGTGCCTATGTTTCAGTTTAAGAGGGAAATGAAGATGTTAGGGAGAGTTAGGGATCTCAGGAGAGAAGGAATGAGAGGGTGGGATAGAAGGTTGATTGAGCAAGTGTATAGTCCATCAGATGCAGAAATCATTCCAAATCTACCAACTCCTCAAAAAGGAAAAAAAAAAAAAGGACAGACATGTGTGGCATTTTAATGCAAATGGGAAATTATGTGAATTCAATGTGCATTGTCGTGGAAAAGAATTTTGAACTGCAACATTCAAGACCAGAAAAAGTAACCAACTAATGACAGTGAAGAAAGTGTGTCAAAAACTTGGAAGCGAAAGATAAAAGGAAAAATTAAGATGTTTATGTGGAGGTGCTGGCTTAGATTTTGGGAACTCAGGATCAACTCAAGAGGAAAGAGATTTTAGTGGACATAATATGCAGTATGTGTGGAGAGAAAGAGTATAACCAAGAGCATGTTTTATTCAAATGTGCAAGGGAAAAAATGGTTTGGAAGCTGATGGGATGGGATAAAAGAGAAGGAAGATATTTTTTTCAAGATTGGTAAGACAACCTCTATTTATTAGATGATAGAAGGAGTCAGAAAGGTATTATAGGTCTTTATACTTACATTTTATGGTAGTTGTGAAAAACAAGGAACAATTTGATTTTTAGGAAAGAGAGACTGAGTGACAAGGAAACAACAGAAGGGCCATTGATCTAGTGGCAAGAATTCGACAATATTCAGAGCAGGGCAACTTCAGTGAAGAATGTTTGGTAGGGTGGTTGAAATGGGATGTAGTCTCTTTGTAAAAGTGCATGTACTTTCAGCTACTAATGTTGTGATGGTGAAGTGCAGTCAGGGTTGGAAGAAGCTAGGAGCTTTAAGGGATCGGCTGCTTCTCTTCAGTCAGACTTTTGGTT